TATAATTGTTGAATCCTTTCTAAAACCACTGTGTAGAGGGTGGCTCATTTAGATTTCAGCGACATGGTCTTGGGTGGTTAAGAGGCATTGGATTGAAATTAGTTCCGCCGGAACTGTAGAATTTTGTAGGATAACTACTACAAATTATATAATCAATAGAAGTATAAAGTGTTGTGTTATTTATATTGTCTAAAGTAAATGAAGCATAAACGATGTCATTAAATATAAATTTATTGACATAAAGAGGATGTTAGGGACCATACAACAAATTTCTGATTGACATCATATGATGACAGTAAATTTAGAGTCGATAAATTGTGAGATACATATAAGCAAAGCAGAAGAAGGGAGACGTACATTTGGGAGCATGGTGACAATCTATGCTGCAATTCGCTGAATTGCTGGAAACATTGTCTTTGTCCCAAGTCCTAACCTAACTATTACATCCCACCATAATGTCTCAAGGTATACTGCAGAGGTAAAAAGACATTAGTGATATCCAATGACCATAAGAAAATAATATATGCAAGTAACAAACTATTTCATATGAAGTCCAAGCTGAATAAGAAAACGTGCAACTCTGTGAATACATTCCTGAATGAAAAGGGTAATCGATGGATGCGTGGATCTCCATAAGTTGAGTTGAAGAAACAAATTAAGAGCAGAATGTTGGTCTTGTAAAAACCAGTTGGCAGCAAGCTGGTAAGGGAGACTATTGCAAGAAAAATAGAGCTTCATAATCTACCATTCCATGTTAGCAGGGACTGAAAACGTAGTCATGACACAATCAAAACAAATTCTATAACCCAAGAAGGAAGAGAAGTTAACTTTCACCGAGAGTCAAACTTGTGCATCAATCTGGACTGAGAGCTAGCTTTTGCATGGCAATCATGGAAAAGAGAGGGAGAGAACTACCATGAGAGTCTGAAATCGCAAAATTGAATGAGAAGCAAAAGGAAACGCAAAAAATGTCATCAATCATGACCCGTCTGGCAGGAGAAATATCACAGGCTATAGAATTACTTCAAATAAAAACACCAGATGATACATTTTGGATTATTGCTATGGAATTTAAGCGAAAGTATGTTGGAGTCATTGTGATGTCACTAAACAGACAACTTCGTAAGAACAAAAGAAAGAAGTTTAATGCAAAAGAAAATGGTGGAGAGCAACATGTTATACCAGAAATTATTAACCATAATAGTAGGGTCTAAGCCTCCATGTTTTATCAATCCTTGAGTCATAAAGGGAAGGAAGATAAGTTTTAGTTTTATGCAGAGAGCAAGGCAAGTTATTGAAGACATAACACAATCAGAAACTAAGAAATCGAGCAAGGCTATTTGATCTGGTTATTTCCTATAGACCCAGCAACCATTCAGACTCGAGTACTCAAGAAAAGTATAAGTGTACACACCTTATAGTTGGAATCGATGGGTTGAACTTTGGGACCAATTGATCCAGTATAATCTTAGCTGGTACATGTTGAAGGAGAATGTCGTGTCTGCTGTGCTGGAGTTGATTCAACCAACTTGTTTGGGCAGCGCTTCAAGTAAACATAAAACATAGTTCAGGCCACAATCGAGACGAACATTAACCATTAAGTTGTGTTGTGCACACCATAGCTTTAGATGTAAAACACAAATTCTTGTCACAAGGAAAGAACACCACTACCGAATGAAGGCAAGAAAAACATGATCTTTTGCTGGATTTAGGCCATTCAACCCAAACGAAACATATGAGTAGAGTAATCAACCATGTACAATACAATCATTTTGCTAAAGAGCAGTAAGGTGAGAACATATAGTATCTCTCTTAATAATCTAAATTGCTACTTCAAGTATGGTTACTGCTCCAGTTGGGCACTGCTGACAAATTAAACTTCTATTCCAAATTACAAAGTATACTCTCTACAGGGTTCAAGAGGCAAAGAGTGACAAAGGCCTGAAACTTTCCCTTGCCCACCTACAAAATATCTTTGCTCTCATAACTACTTCGGGATCCATATTAGTCTCAACTCACGTTAACCTTTGAAAAATGACAAATGCAGAAACAATCAAAAGCAACGTAACCAAGTTCCAGTATCGCATTACTGTTTACCTTGCAAAATCCCACAAATCTTATTTATTTATTTATCTAACCTTTGATATTTCATCATTGTAGTTAAAACCTTGTGATGTTGAGGCTATTTGAAATTTGGGTCAGGGTAATAGAAGGGTGAAATTAACCCAAAAACAGAACAATCAAATCAAGCTTGCAAAAAAACTGGTTGGTGGTACTCTAATGACAAATATTTTCTATTCCTTAATCAATATCAGCTCCCTCTATCTGAAGCTGACGATGGGAAGTTCTTGATACAGGTTACAAATGGCATGAATCTTTTTAACTGCAAATTTGGAGGTTTCTTAAAGGTGAACGAACAAAATGCAGCTTAGTATGAAGAGCATTTATCACAACCACCAAACTCCCTAAAGTAGTTGTCATCCCTCAACAACAACCTGGCTACACTAACAACAGACATCAATAAACAAAATCACACAGAGGGACTTCGACAATATCTTTTCTATGGGGGAATATTTACACGTGAGCTAATAACACAAAAGAGTAGAAATCCATCAGTATAAAATGAACAGCAAGCACCACAATATAGAGGGGTGATATGGTATCATCAGGAAGGGAAGAAAAGGCACGGTTCTAGAATAAAAGGTCGAGTAGGACCTAATTAAATTCTACTTCATCTTCCATTGCTCTCCCATTTGGAGTTTTCCTGTTAAATTTCCACAAATAATGAAAAGACTATCAAAGTAAAATGTGACTTCAGGAATTCGTATTTAAAACAGAGGCCAGAAACACAAACATGTATATGCTATGGTGCTCCTACCATTAGTTCACTGCTACCAGTCTTGCATCATACCCCAAAGGTGCAATAACTGGAATAATTGAAGTATGAGGAATTGCAGCATGAGCCCCTTACCGCTGATCTTAGCCTTGCAGCTTTCACATCCATCAAGGAACTGGCCTGACCATGAAGCAGTTCAACCTGCAGGAAATATATGAGCTACATCAATACCAAAAATTGCTTCCTCGGGACCTCCTTGTCCACACACACAGAGCACCCATGAAGACAGTTGGAACCTGATCTGAAGTAAAAGAAATCAATTCATCATTAATGGCTATTAGATTTTCTTCTGCATGATTAGTGCAAATGGAGGTAACTGATCTAAGGATTCTAAGTAAAGAGAAATTATCAACACATCATCCTTGCAAAAGGAAAACTTAGAACCGCTATAAACTGCCAGAGGGAGAAATCCCAATATCCCTTCCCAATGAACCATACTCGTGTCGTTAACAGGGCAAGGATGATACTAAGCTGGAATAAACAGAGAAGAAAAGATTACCCTAGATACTGTCAGTTGAATCTTCTTCTTTCTCACCACTCCTAAAGCTCATGTCATGGCTGCTCGTCCTTCGATCCATACCCTGCAAAAAATCCAATTCAATTAAAATACGTGGCCTAATTTCGCAATCTCTTTGATTTCAAATCTAAAACATAAAACCCATAGGAATCAGAAGTTCCTTGAGAGCCCTAAAATATTATAGATACATGTGTCTGTCATTTACACCAAGCAGCATTGCAACATAAGAAGCATGGCATAGACATCCATTGCTTGCGTCAACCTTGCTTGTATGCCCCCATTGAACCATCTCTGCAGAAAACCAAAAGATAAAGGCTAAATTATGGCCAAGAGATCATGTTCAACACCCTATAAATCCCCCCAACCTAAAAAGGAAAAAGAAACAGATCCAATCCCCTTAAACGTCTAGCAATTACAGAGGGCCAAATCATTATCAGAATCGGTTTCACAACCAAGAAAACAAATTTTGAAGGGAAACACAAAGAAATCACTTAACTGAAAACCTGTATTGGTAATAAAAACATTGACATAGTAAAGTTGAGAGAGGAGAGTAAAAGGAAGTCACCTCATGTATGCTGGGAGATCTTCTTGGGTTGGGATATCTCTTCTCTCTCTGCCACTCTGTGTTGTGTCATCCTTCTCCGTAATACCACCAACCGATCACCCTCGCTCAGGGAGCGCATCATTGCCGCGTAACCCATCACGCCAGAACAGAATGAAAAAAATGCCTCTCATCTTCTTCCTCTTTTCCAATGATTCCCCTCTTCTTATTATTCTTCAACAGCGGGAGAGAGGGAGAGATTAAAGACGGGGATTCCTCCAAAAAAGAGTAGGCCAAACCTAAGATTCAAGGGTGGAAGAGAGGATCAGGTGCAAAGAAAATAAAAAGGATATGAGAATTGCAGGGACAATCGTACCAGTATTTCTTGAATGGGCGTAGCAGCAGCGGAGGGTTTCCCTTACGGAGAAGGACGACGGCGAGGGAAAAGGGCGGGGAAGATGATGTGCTGTCGAGAATTGCCCGCCAGCACAGCAAAACCAGTGGGTGAGAAGCTTTGGTGGGTGAAAAGGAGTGGACGAAACCAAGAAGTCACAGCCATCCCGCGGTTCGTTTCCCTAGCAAGAGAGTGTCTCAGTGTTGTGGGTGGCGTGAAGAAGGGAGGAGCAGGAAGGGTGAGAAGACAGGATAAAAGGGAGAGTCCAATAGAGGTTTGTGTGTCAGAAAAGAAGAAGAGAAGCGAGAAGGGAGAGGAAGACGATTAACCAGTGGGTAATAGGAAAGTACAGGGTTCCTTTTCGGCGAGTGGGGTAATTAGGTGGGCGAAGAGTTGCTGTGAGGAGGGAAAAGCTGAACGTGACCGAATTAGGAGGAAACAAACGGCAAAAGCCCAGTCGCAGTCCAGTGTTTGGGGGCCACTAATGAACAGTACTCAAACTGTGGCTTTTATATACCAATTCTTTCTTTCGTTGCTTGTGAAAATAGGTATCACAATACACTTCACAATTTCTCACAAACACGGAGTTATAATAATTAATCAAATAAAAATAAAAATATGAGGTCACAGAAACGTAATATTTTTTTTTTTATGAATGAAACGTAATATTCTCAGTTCCTATCTCCTGTGTTTTCATTAAATTGGAAAATCATTTCAATTCTGCGCTTTTTCCGTTCCAGAAGGAAAAGTCCATTCCGCAAACTAATTGCCGCCTGTTTCAATACAAAAACTCGAACTCTCTCTTCCGTTCCGCTCCTCTCGCCTTTTTCCCTCCAACTGCCAACAAAACCCTTCTTCGCGCCTCCCTCCCCTCCCTTTCTCTCACTCTCTCAATTCAATGGCCATGGCGACCAACTCCGCTCAAGATCCGACGCGTTCAGCTCCGCCGTCTCCCTTCCACTTCCAGCTCCTCCATTCCCATCCTCACCTCCACACTCCGAATCAAAACGTCGCCACCGCCTCTCCTTTCCCTCCTTCTCCCAATCGAATCTTCGCCTCCCCTCTCCCTTCCGCCGACGCCGGCGGCGGCATCGCTCGCCACTGCAGCAGCCTTCTCGCTCCTCCCCCGACGGCAGCAACGATTCTCCACTCGCCTAATTCGCATTCTGCTCTCTCCGTGAGTTTTTTTCTTTTCGTTTTCTTCTATTTGACATCGTTTCTGGAATCTTCTCGGTGTTTCTTTGGTCCGGTTTCATGAATGAATGCTTCGGCACCAATTTTCTTCGAATTCAGCTTTGCTTTGTTAGGAATTCATGTAATGGCGGGCTTTGCCTCTGAACACTGCTTGCTTGAAATTGAAAAAAAAGAGGGGAAGGACTTTTGGAAGAAGGAATGTGAACTGCCGAGTGCTTATAGTTATACCACTGAGTGCTCTTTTGCAATTTTTTAGTGCTTGCGGTTTCTAGAGTTCGTATCAAGTTGGGAGGTTAATGAAACGAATTTTCATGTTAATTGCTTGCAGTTTATCACTAACCACACGAGTGAGGATGGTAATTACAAGGTTCAAAATGGAGGAGGAGTGGTGAAAGTCCCTAATTGCTTCAGTCCAGTCAAGGGGAAGCAGCATAACAAGGTGAAGGTCACAAAACAAAGCAAGTTGGCTGGGAAAAAGTCTAACCCTGGTAAGTTTTTCCTTTTGCCTCCTTCTAACTTCTCACTTCAAGAGCTCAAGATTATTTGCTGTGTTGTGATGAGCCTGAGTTGTCTGGCATATGTGCTTCACTTGGCAGAGTCTGTTGATGGTCAGAGCCCAACCAGTGGTTGCAGATACGACAGCTCTTTGGGTAAGCTGTTGACATATTTTACTTGCAATTTCTCATGTGGCTACTGTAAGTCTGAACGTTTGGGTTCGTGATTCTGCTGTGAACTAGGGCTGTTAACGAAGAAGTTCGTGAAGTTAATCCAGGAGGCCAAAGATGGCACCCTTGATCTCAACAAGACAGCAGAAGTTCTGCAGGTATTCAACACATGTACCATAGTGCTTTTGGCGCATGAGATTCTGTGGTAAATTTGATGTTGGATTGGGTTACTAATCGTTTCAGTCCCTTTTTGGTGCGCTTTGCCCGTTGTTCGTTGTTATCAGGTTCAGAAGAGAAGGATATATGATATCACAAATGTTCTGGAAGGAATAGGGTTGATAGAGAAAACTTCTAAAAACCATATACGGTGGAGGTATTACTCTTGAACCTTCGCCCAACCTTTAACATTTAGCTTCCTTCTTTTTGTAATTAAAAAATTTGACTGATGTGAGATTTATATATGGATTAGGGATTCTTCTGATTGTTCTGGGACAAAGGAGTTTGATTGTGATGTCAATAGATTAAAGGTATGGATCAATGAATGCTACATGAATTTCACTAATCATGCCTTCTTTTAGAGAGCTGTGTTAAGAATCAAAACCTTACTAGTTTCACAAACCCTACCTCAAAACTTTCTTCTGCGCAGGCTGAAGTTGATAGTCTTCATTCTGAAGAATGCAGTCTTGATGAAGCTATAAGGTCTGTTAATACAAATGGATTAAGTTAGTCATGTTTATTCTGGTTTTGTCCACTGCAGTTGGATTAAGTTGATCATGTTTCTCACTCTCTATAGGGAAAGGGAAGAAAGCTTAAGGCGCCTACAAGCGGAGAAAAGCAATCAAAAGTATCTCTTTCTGACAGAGGAGGATATTATCAGCATTCCCCAATTCCAGGTCCATGGAATCTTAGTTTAATCTCTGTTAACTGCGATGCAGACATGTTTCTCTTTCTCCCCCTAATTAATTAACTTGGTAGTAACTTTGACTGATAATGCCACAGAATAGCACATTGATGACAATCAAGGCCCCTCCTGCTAGTAATCTCGAAGTTCCTGATCCTGATGGTGACCAGGTATGAACTGTTTGCGTGTGTGACTAGATTTTTTCGCTTTTCGTCTCATAGTTTATCTACCATCTGCTAAGCAAACTGTTAAAAATGAACAGGACTTGGGCTCCCGCCAACACAGAATGATCATTAGGAGTGTCACAGGACCAATCGAATTGTATCTCCTGAGGTATATGACCTTTTTTTAATGTTTCTAACTTCTATTTATAGCTTGTCCAAAGCATCTTCCTTTGGCCTTCATGTTCACTTTCGAAGAAACTCAAAAAGTGACATGCTCTTATTTGAATAGCAAGTATAATCACCAAGCGACGGATGTGGTGGAAATGGACACCTGTGACGATGCTAGACATAGTTGCAGCAATTCACCAAAGGACTCTCCTTCTTCTGCATCTTACACGCCTGGGGTTCAGAGGATGGTACCTTCTTACAATGATGTAAGTATCAATCACATATGTTTGTCGATCACATCACTTGAACGATAACGAACCTTCGTTAATAGGCTTTATTTTTTTCTTTGACGTATTATCATATTCATCAATGGCAGAACTACGATGACTACTGGCTGCAATCGAATAATGAAGTGGGTCTCTCTCGATTATGGCGTGACTGAGTACTCAAATGTAACCGTGCTAGAGTATTGCATCATGTTACGACTTGTATCTGGTAATATCCCATGATGAAGAGTCTGATCTAGGTATGAATTATCAGCAGTGCAGCAATATCTGAGGTGATTCTTTTATAGTTTTAGATCCTGGTGGGGGAAACTAAGTGTAGATAATTAGCTTATCCAGGGCTGATCGCAGGGCTTACCAAATAACAACCCTATATCAAGATTAAGGGTTCGTAGTGAGATTCGTTCAAGTATTGGGCCATATAGTAAATTTCTTATTGTTGCATTTCCAATAACAAAAAGGATGTAACTTTGTTACCAAAAAAAAAGCTCCTTTTTATCACAGTTCGGTGGTTGATTCAACTAGATCTTTGTTCAAGATCACAGAAATATGGAAGTCCTTCCTATTGGTGTTTTTCATTTTTCCATACCCATTTCGTGGTTATACCATAACAATGGTGGAGTTAACGTATGGTTCAGAAGGTGTTGTATCTCTCTTCAATTTTTATTAAAAGTATAATTTGTCTTTATATATTGAGAAAACATTAGAAAGTTGTTGTAAAAAAAAAAAATCATTAGAAAGTAGACGTAGGGCTGGACATGCGAGGTCACCCGTGAGTTTGGGTCGATTCGCCTGCATTTTATTCGAATTTTGTTATGTGAGTGAGTCTGTGGGTGGGTGACGGGTTGTGCTGTGAGGCATTCACTGCGTGGTGAGTGGGTTGTGGACATGTGGGCGGGTGACCCGAACAAAGTTGTTGGCGTTAGAGAGTGGAGACAATGATGGAAACTAGGGTTACTAATGGAGATTGAATCTCAAAGCCAATCTTCCAAATCTTGACTTCCCTCTTCTTCCCTTTATTTTTTCCTCTGATTCTTGTGCCCAAATCACCTTTCTTACCGCTGTTGAATTATTTTTTTTAGTTTCGTACACTCGATAATCATTTCTATCCGTAGAAAACACCTCCATAAAATTATTTCTATCCGATTTCAAACTAATTCGACATTTATTCTTCCTATTCCATCTTCTTGTTTCCGGGTAACTCTCCACCAATTATCTTGCCACTTGAATTTATTTTCAAATTTGGAGGGTGAATGGATGTTGAAATGGATTTTTATTTTACATATTGACATTACACAAGGGGTTCAGAAATATAAATGGATCATGTCAAGTTGACTCATTTATATTATGCACATTGTGATGTGGATGACCCAAAAACCCACCCGCATCATCCGCCATCCACCCGACCCAACCCGAAACTAAATGTGAGTGGGTGGTGGGTTAAAGATTGTCAATCCGTTTAAGCACGGATGAGTGCATTTTGTGAGTTTGAGGAAGGAGGAGTTTTATTGAAACAAAATGGAAGAATTACACGTAGGAGTTCCAACGAACAGATAACAAACCCTAAGAAGAAATCGATCAATGATTTCTTCTTAAACAGCAACACAAACCTATCAATCTACTTCCCAAGCTCGATTCAAACCCCACACTGTGAGTCGAGCTACCGAAGAAGATAAAGAAACTGAACCCAATATAGAAGACCACTCTCTACTTAATCTCTCCGTAAACTGTCAGTTTCTAACAATCAGATGAGCAGGGTTTAAATAGAAGGGAAGCAAATGACCGTTTACATAAAGGAATCTACACAAGCTAGCCTAGAGATCGGAAGTCGTCCTGGGTAGCGACACCTTTTGAGAGGAACGAAGAAAATGTGGAGCTGATGAGAAGAAAAGGAGAAGAAAAGTAGGTCTTCAAAGATGGGTTGTCTTTGAATGACTATGAGAGTCGACAGTAGCGAACGACATCGAGGAGTCTAGAACGACGTCGTGTTTGGAAGATCAATTGACAGCAGTGAAATGCTGTCGTGGAGACTCATCCAACACAATTTATGGTCAAAATTCACTCTCCCCATCCAATGCCCACCCCTAAGTATACGGTACTTGTAGCCTTCCAAATTTTAAATTAATCGTGTGATTCATGAACAATCGTAGCAGTCTGTCATTTTCAACCCTTTTTAAGTTTAAATCCAGTTTTGCCAATAGGCCTCTTAACGGAATGGGCCATCATGATCTCGGTTTCTGTTGGGCCTGATAGGCCATATATCTCTGCTTGTTACGGATGTCTGCGTGGAAGGATTTGTTACAAGCAGGTGCCGTCGAAGTGGAAGCGAGGCAACGTAACGACTCACTCTACGCATTTTGTCCAGGCCAGTTTCATAAGTTTCACCTAACGTCACAGATTAGAGAAGTGAAAAAGTCAGCATCCAAATCATTCTCGTAACCCAAAAGTCTTCAATGCTTTGGATTTGAACCGTTGGGGATACTCTTTCTCAAAACTCCAATAATAGGGATGGATAATGACCACCACACTCCCCACCAACTTTACACAATAGCCGTTGGCAGTTCCAAAAAGCATTACCAATCCAATAGTAGAATACCTGATTAATCTCTTTACCAAACGCTTATTTATTATATACACATTCTAAGCTCAGTCAGCAATTCCAGATCCCACTATGAGAACCCGATCTTTTTTTTCCCAATCTTTAGACAACAGGATGAAATTCGCGTCCTCATTACATGTTCCTTCCTCCGAAATGTTCCCTTTTTACTTTCTTTTTTTTTTGGCATTTCGAAGTGTTTGAAACAATAAAGCAACAAATGGAATGAAGAAACTAAAGAGAGACATGGCAAATTTACACCCGAAGAACAAACTGTTTTCTTTGTTTTCCTTTCTTCACTTGGTTCCTGATCTGGCTTTCCTTAACCTTCCACGAGTAAGACGGATGGCTTCTTCGATGACCGTCTCCTTTGGGGCAGCGGCAGCAGCGGGATCATTAGACGGAGGTGCTGCAGCGGATTCGATCTGCATTGCTTCCGGTGCAGATGGGTTTGGCTGTGGCTCGGATGGAGCGGAGAGTGATCTCGTCGGGGCGTTGGGAGCTTTTGCTGGATAAGGGGCTCTTGGTTGATTTGGAGCTACCGATGGAGGAATGGTGGCTTGAGGGGATTTAGAACTCACTGCCTCCTCAGCTGTGGCTAGTTCCGTTTGGTGCTGAGTCGATGATGTGCTGGAAGTGGGAGATGGGGGCTCCTCCGGTTCTGGTTTTGACCCTGCTGGCTGACGACGGATTGGTGGATTAGACGCTGAACGAGCCCTGGGACCTTGTTGCTGCTGAATACAATTAGACAATTAGTAGTATTCCATAAGGTTCACAGAGCGCTTTGCTAGCAACAATTGTACGCTCAAATAGCACTATGGTTAACCCAAATATCATTCTCCCACCCCTGCATACACAATTGTAATCATCTAGAGTTACATGGGTAACCCATCAAACAAACACTAGGGACGATGAATTATCTAGTCTCTAAGAAATCACTCATAACCCGATAGATCACAAATGCGGTGCGCTAATTACTTTTATGCCAACTCTTTAGCAGCTCATCTTCTAAATCAAACAAGATCTGATCATCCAACAACAATGAGCAATTTGATTCTCAATGAACACACAAAAATGTTAAATGCAATAGAACTGACATCATTTGATTAAAACTACGATATGATCTGTTCCTGGAGATGGTACCTGAACTGGCCGAGGCCTTGGGATTGATTGAGCAGAAACATACTGCAAAATGTCGAAGACTCTTGTCTGACCATAGCTAGCAGCTCTTTGCCAGTACAATATTGCCATGTCTCCAGCCCTTGTCCTTAGCTCCAGCAAGTTGCGGTCAATTTCATTCTCATGTTTAGCAACGTATGGTCTGAAGAAAGAGTCATACACATACGTAGTTCCCTGGAAGAGGTAATGAAGAGAAGAAATCAGTACTCAAAGGGATGAAAATTGGAAAACTGAAAAGAAAAGGTTACATTCTTGTGATAGCTAGGCACCTTGGTTTTGGGGTACCACAAGTATATAAAGAATGCCAACTTCGCCTCGCTGTACATTGGAACCCTTAAAGAAAGCAAAAACAGAATATTAGGATAGACCCAGAGTCGATGGATCAGATTGCATAACATTATGCATAAGCATTCAAGCTCTAAGTTATTACCATGAAATAAAAGCATCACCGATTCTCTCGCTAACAGTCAAAACGGCAACCAGAATCCTGCAACACCAACAGAAGCACAAAAGATTCACAAACTGAATGCAGTTTGCAAACATAAACTGGAGAAATGAAAAGGCATGGAATCTGTAATGTACCAATACTGGCACCAGAAACGAAGCTGCTCAATCTCTGGTTTATTCAATTCAACAGTTTTATAGCACTCGTATGCTGGATAGGCGTAGCCAAAAACCAATCTGTCAACACACATCAATGTCAGTTTACTTCTGATTATAATGCAATTCCTTTATTATGATGTTTTGAGATATCACTTGAGTAATGGCTGCTATAACTTACACAAGTCCTCTAGTAAGAAATGATCCTAGCATCTTGTAGACCTAGCAAAGAAGGAAGAAACAAGTTAGCCACTAACAACCAAAGTGCAATGATGATATAACTCAACACCTCAATTAAGAAGATACTAAACTCTGATGTTCATCTCTGAAACTTGAATCAATCATCACAGAATCACACAATTAGGAACGCATCAAAGTTAGTTTGATGGAATCAATTCCGCTTTTTAACACCATGTTTGCTTCAGTGTTTGGATTAATGAGAGTAAAGTTCGACATAAGAATCCCTTTGCTCTTGGGAAAACCAAAGGGAACAAGAAAGAAGACGACAGTGTTGTTTCAGCCTTGTGTCTCCCGAAATGAACACAATCTCCATTTAGTAAGAAGATTCAAGGTTCTTCACAGGTCCAAAGATTAGGGCAACAAGTCCTCGCCGTAAAATTACTAAACAAAGACGGATTTTCAACTCAATCGTTCCAAGTTTCACAGATAACTCTGAAATGCCGCCGGAGTATCGAAAGGAAACGAATACAGTACTAGTCACTAGAGACCAAGAAACCGCCATGAATCACCGGATGGAGAGGTAAATGTAACCGTAATATGCCGAAAAATTGAAGGCTACCGTCACAAATCCACAAGAAGCAAACACGAGAGAGAGAGAGAGAGTGCGAGGGAGAACCATTGATTACCTTTCTAACGGCGTCTCGACTGCGGAGTAGTAAACAGGACGAAGAAAATACACCGCAAGCAGGAAAATGAGGGAGTAACCGCCGGATTGAAGCGGCGGAGGATGAAGCCGACGCAGATCACAGAAACTTCCGCAGCAAGGGAGGAAAAAAGGACTCAGGCGTACGTTCTGACAGAAAACACTGTGAGAAAGGACGGCGGCGAACCGTTAGGAAGTCGGCGGTCGGGGAGCGAAGGGGAGAGAGGCGGAGCGGAGAGAAAGGTCTGAAGCAACAGCAAGTTTCAGTGGTGTTATAAAACAGAAAACTCTCTTCGTTTTCTGTGGTAAAACTGTAAAAGGGTAGTGATTCCCTAAACGACAGCACACGGCCATTTCGTGAACCCTAGTTGAAAGATCACCCCACACACCATTGATTGTCCGGTTGGGCAGCTTTCCGGTCCAACCGCTGGAGAAAACCACTCAATTAGGGCCTGCCCAACCGTTCTGAATGACCAAAATAGGTCTGGTTCACCGGTAAAGCGTATTATCTTCCCCCCCCCCCCCCAAAATTAGGGGTAACAAGAGAGTCAAATAGAAGAGTCAAGTAAAGCGCGGGAGTCGACCAATAGTCGAACTCCCGATGAGAGGGCTTTATGTGCCACAAGATGGGCGGCCCTATTAAGTCGACGAGAAACATAACAGAACGAAATCCAACTGAAATGGGTAGCTAGAACTCAAGCATCTTCAAGCACCGCACCACTTCGATCATGAGCAAAATCCTCCCCCACCATACGCCGTGTCAGTTGTTGCGAATCCCCATGAGAAAAGGATTCTGGTTGTTGCGAATCCCCCACCACCCTGCAGCCAAAGAAGAAATGAGAAAAGGATTCTGGTTCTGCCGAACAGATGGGACATTCCGTGGTTTGAACCAAAGTTTTGGTGAACAAGACTGTTTGAAGCGGAAGGAAACCACGGACAGCCCGCAAGAAGAAGAATCTCAACTTGGGTGGCACCGGCAGGCTCCAAAGAAGTTTCCAAAATCGCGACTCAAAGGGCAGCAGGGGCGGTGGGTGTGTCTCGTTATACTCATTGGACAGTAGGTGGTAACCTGTCTTTACAGTATAAACTCCAGAAGGAGAGTAATGCCAAATCATTCTGTCTAAAGTATAAGATACTGGAAGCGGAATGGACAGAATAAGATCCACACTCACAGGCATGAAAAGAGAGTTCAGGAGATCAGCCTTCCACGAATGGGTTGTATGGCAAATGAGTTCAGAAACTAGTAAAGGACAGGATTGTATACCTGGTCGTAGTAGAGGGCATAATGGGGGAGATGTTGGCAGCCAATTATCCTGCATAACCTGGATTTGAGTCCCGTCTCCGACTTGCCACCTCAAACCACGCTTGAGTAGATCCCTTCCTTCCAAAATACCTTGCCAAGCCCAAGATGGGCGAGCACCCGCCGAAGCATCAAGAAATTCATGTAACGGGTGATAGCGAGCCTTATAGATACAGGCGATGGTACTAGAAGGTGTGAATAATACTCGCCAAGCTTGTTTAGCTAGAAGCGCAATGTTGAACCTGTTAAAGTCCCTAAATCCAAGCCCACCTGTAAACTTGCTTAGACAGATTGCACTCCAAGAAATCCAATGTATGCCTTTCTCCTTATCCTGGCCAGCCCACCAATACTTTGACAACTGACCATTGCATCTACGACAGGTTTCCTGAGGCAGCCGGAAAGCCGACATGGCATAAATTGGACCAGCAACCCCAATCGCCTTGATAACAACCTCCTTCACCGCCAATGATAATGCCTTTGCCTTCCAACTACTAATTCGAGCCGCCAAATCTTCCTCAATGAATTGGAAAGATAGGGACTTAGAGCAACGGATTTGAGAAGGAAGTCCCAAATATCTGTCATCAGGCTGCATAATTCCCACCCCTAAAAAGGTGCTAATTGCATGGAGTTCCTGATCTGAGACATTACCACTAACACACACAGCGGATTCATGCAGATTAACCCGTTGACCACTATACGTCTCATAATCAGAAAGCAATTGCATCAAGTTCGCACATTCAGGAATAGAAGCTCTAAGAAACAGGTAAGAATCATCGGCGAAAAATAAGTGAGAAATGGGAGGAGCTGACCTGTGAACTCTTAACTCATGAAGTGAGGAGGAGGCGATCTCTCGGCTGATCTTGGCAGAGAAGGCTTCCGTGTAAACGGCGAACAACAGCGGTGATAATGGATCCCCTTGGCGAATCCCCCTTTGAGGTTGAAAGTAACCATACTGGGCTCCATTGAGAAGAACTGAAAAACGGACCGTTGATACACAGGCCCTGATCCAGACCATCCACTTCTCACAGAATCCAATCGATTGCATAACCTGGAACAGAAACTCTCATTCTACTCAATCATACGCCTTTTCCATGTCTAGTTTTAAAGCCATCCATTTGTCCTGTCCCCGGGTCTTGGTCTTGAGAAATTGCATCACTTCCTGGCCAATGAGAATGTTATCGGAGATGCACCGACCCTTGACAAAACCATTTTGGAATTGACTAATGATTTGAGGAAGAATGGAACTGAGCCTTGATGCTAAGATTTTGGCGATAATTTTATACAAAACCTGGCATAACCCAATTGGCCGCATATGGCGCATGGAGTCAGCATTGGCAACTTTCGGAATAAGGGTCATCAGTTTGTGATTCACACTATGGAGCAGGCGGCCTGTTTGGAAGAATGATAATATGGCTTCAGATACATCCCATCCTATCTCCTCCCAAAATCTTTGATAGAATGCTGCAGTAAAGCCGTCAGATCCGGGAGCTTGGCCTTTCCCAATGTTAAACACTGCCTTCCTGATTTCCGACCTAGATACCTGCATAGTGAGCTGATCATTCATTGGTCCTGTTACCTTGAGAGGAAGATCCAAGCTGCGTATAAAATCTGTGGGGTTCGAGCCATTAGAAGAAAATAACAATTCAAAGTAGGATACATAGACTTCCCCTTTAGCCGATTCCGCTGTTTGGAGTTCCCCTTGCGCATCATGAATGCCAGGAATGAAGTTCTGTCGCCTTTTCCGCATTGTGGTCACGTGGAAGAAATGAGTATTGGCATCACCACCATGAAGCCAGTTGACTCTCGATTTCTGCTTCCAATACAGCTCCTCCTGCCTGTATGCATCAGCCAGCTGCCTCTCTAAGTTGTTGATAATTGACCAGTCAACTGCAGCAGCCTCCCTTTCCGCATCAATAGCCCCTTGCAGTTCTCGGATTTGGCGGGCTGAGTTTGTCGTACCTGCCTTGGCCCATCCAAGCAGCTCCTGTCGAACATGCTTCAGTCGAGTTTGCACCTGGAAAAGGGGTGTGCCGCCAGCAGATTGCTGCCATGCCGAGTGGACTAGAGGAGGTACATCCGGGTTGAAATCCCATCGTTGGTCGTAGTGAAATCTTCGAGCTCGGTGGTCCTCCATCTCCACCAATCTCAACAGAAGCATCCTGTGATCAGACCCCCTGTCAGACAGATGGTGAACCTGCACATCAGGCCAAACAGCAAGTACATTATTATTCCCCAAACACCGATCCAACCGGGATTGGATATGATCATCATTTGATTGTCGGTTAGTCTAATTGAATCGAGGTCCGATGTATCCCAGATCATGAAGCCCAGCCTCCCCCAGGAAGAGGTTGAGTTGAGCAAGGGCTGCTGGGGAAGGGGTTCGACCTCCTTGCTTTTCACTACTAGAAAGAAGACAGTTAAAATCACCCACCACGAACATCGGGTCAGCATACAAGGAAATCATATATGAAATTTCATTAAATTGAAACTGGCGAGACCTTCCTCGCAGCTTAAGTGTACAAAAACTACACCAAATTGGCCGAAAGAAAGGTGCTCACATTCGACAAATAAAAACCCCAAAGACTCTACTGAAACTGTAAACACTAGACTAGAAGACCAGGCAACAACTAAGCCACTACCATTATTGGACACACTATGTACTTGCTCCGCAGGGAAGCCAAGACTACCAAACTGCTGTAACACAAACTCATCATCCCTCCTGGTTTCACTCAAACACACAAGCAGCGGAGATTCTCGGAGCAAGGTCTCCTTCAGGACCGAAACTGTCAGGGGTGCTCCCAATCCCCTGCAATTCCAGGAGAGTATGCTCATGGATCGGACTGGGACCGATCAGGGCCGGTTGCCTCCACCTCCAGCTTCTCGTTGGAACTTGCATCGCTGCCTTTTGGGCCAAATATGGCTCTCTTAGCATTTGGCTCATGCTGCTCAACCATTCTCTCATCTTGCTGCTGCGAATCCACTAATGGACTGTTTCGCTGGCCATCTGGAGGAGCAGAGATACAGAGCTGCCCCAAGTGAGATGCCATTCCCAGGTGGAATTTGGAAGGTTGGAGACCCCCAGCAAGAGCTACACCAGGTTGAGCCCCCTACTTGACGGAGCAATCGCAGTAGCGTGCCCGAAAACTGCTCTGATGCTGCGGGCATTCTGCGCCGATCGTGCGCCAGCACTATTCCCAGCCAAGGTCCAGACTACTCGCTTACGTCGGCGCTCCAACGTGTCTTCACGCACCCGAGGCCCAAATTCACTCGCCACCAGGTGTTTCCCATATCTTGGGGGCTGCACACCAAGTTCATCCTTGCTGGGGCAGAACCTGTTCACATGCCCAATCACCCCACACAAGAAGCAGAACTGGGGGAGGGACTCGAACTTCACTTGAACCTTGAAGCATCCTTTGGAAGGGTCCTCGTGGGAAGCTGAGACTTCATCAGGGAGAGGCCGGTTCATATCCAACGAAACTTTGCACCTGAGGTAGAGCCCGCCAGAAGACACCGACCGGTGGATGGTAGCCTCCTCCGCCGGACCTAAGGCTGTTCCCAGGAGAGTCCCAAGCCTCTCAGTACAGCAGTAAAATGGAACTCTCCAGAATTGGGTCACCAATGGAACCCTGAGAAGTTCAGCCGCCAATTCAGTCGTCGGTGTTTCCCACTTTCGCACATGGATGAGGAACTTCTCAAAGATCCATGGTGTGCCGGAGAGGATTCGCCGGGCCGTTTCAGAATCCGGGAGGAAGAACTGGAGGAGATCCCATTCCACCACCGCAACTGAGAAATCGCACTTCCAAACCCGGCCAACGATCGATCTCAGAGTAGAAATTGAAGGAAGCGGGCCACAGAGCCTACCAATCAGAGTTCGGTCGACTCGCAGGGCACCCACCGCTACATCAGCGTTGTTGAATTGAACTGCCGCCATCGCAATCGGAGAATCAAAGAGCAATCGAGGATTTTTGCAGAAGGGGGAAAGCTGATTCAGGCAACAAGAGTGGTGTGAAGCAGAGGAATC